GGCTGGGACCGCACCGCGCCTCTTCGCCGGAGCCAAAGGTGGCGTCCGCACAGCCATCCCAGACGTCGACAGCTACTTTCTTCGTCTGTGCCGTCTGTCACTGCAAGTGCGACGGAGACACTGCTAGAGCAGGTAGCGTGGATGCACCCCGGCAGCCAGGCAGGCGCGAGCCCCACTCTACAAATCAAAGAGTGTACATAGTATGCTCTAACTGGAGCATGCCTGCAAGCACGCTCTAGCTAGCGCATGCCTACCAAGCATGCACTAACTAGTGCATACATGCCATGTACACGCTTCCTGATGCAGAAAGCTCCCTATCCCTTATGTAGTAAATGCGAGGGGGTATGCACTCCCGTAATAGTCGGTTCACTCTATCTGTAATAGCACGCGTAATAATACGCGTAATAGATGCGTAATAGCCGAAATTGTCAAATTTTTTTCAATTTTGGTTTGTTTTAGGCCGTTTTTAGCTTCATTCCGAATAATTTGTGGCGTAATAGACCGTAATAGCGTAATAGTCGGTACACAGGTTCAGAGAGCGCATACCCCCTCGAGTAAATGTATGCTTCAGTTAGCGTGTACATGACATGTATGCACTAGTTAGTGCATGCTTGGCAGGCATGCGCTAGTTAGAGCGTGCTTGCAGGCATGCTCCAGTTAGAGCGTACCATGTACACTCTTTGATTTGTAGAGCAGACGGCCGGGCGCATTACAATGGCAGTCTGGCAGTGCAGGGCGGGCGGGGCGGGGGAGGTGTGGCGGGGGCACTTCGGGGGCCGGTCCCTTGATCAGGCCTGTTTGCCTGCCTCAAGCCTGCCTTCGCCACGCCAGTCGCCGAAAAGTCGCGTTTTTGGTCTCGGCGTTTCCCAAATTACGGCCACACCGTTCAAGATTTTGACTTGAAATTTTGAGAGGCGGCAGCGAACGAGTTGGACTACAACGCCGAGAAGCCCGATTTTCAATATCGTGCCCAGGAGCCGAGATACGGCGGTCTCCGTTTTTCGAGCCGATCACGCCAGTAGGCAAACAGGCAATGTCGGACCGGATTTGACCGGACCGGAGGCGGGCCTGGTCTATTAGCAGTCTCTCTACTAAGTTTGAATTTTTTTGGGCCAGCCGTTTGCGAGAAATGGCGATTTTCATTTCGGTCTGCATCGGCTCCCCGCGCGGAGGCACGGCCGGCGGCCGACCTGGAGACTCCTGTTAAACATAGTTACTAAATGCTTGTAAATAGACGACTTGAGCTAGGCGAAAGAAGAGGAAGAAAATACCCTCCCGAACATGGCGGCCGGCCCCTCTTTTGTCCTAGCAGCTGACGGCGGCCGGCCGTCATGTTCGGGAAGGTATTTTCTTCCTCTTCTTTCGCCTAGCTCAAGTCGTCTATAAGACACCTAAACAGGAATTTATCATATCCCTGTTAACATTTTGGCGGCTATTTTTATGAGAAATCTTACCGTGCGAAAAATGTTTTATGTTTATACCTCCCGTTTCCCGCCAGACGGTACTCCGCTACTTAGATCTTTCGGCTCTCTTCAAGACTCAATTGGTAATACTATATCTCGGTTCCGCAAAAGCTAATAAGTCCCTGCCACCACAATGGGTGTTTATTAATTGTTTCACATATGCTGGCTAAGTTTCTAGTTCCTGAACTTTTACCTTATTTTGTGTGTGCGCAGCTGCACGAGCTATGGTTGTGAGAGAACCGTCAGTATGAGAGGGGACCTTCTTCTATCACGTTGGCGATGGATTTTATTTCCATAGAAGTTCTGCCAGTAACGGCACATAATATTTCAAGTGTGTTCGATACGAAAGAGGTTGTCGTGCCCGGGTTTCACTCAGTCCCAACCAAGTATTACAACTGACTGCGAGGTCTCCTGAACACGATCACAATAGGGACGTCCTTTACCCTGACGAAGTGGCTCTGCGGCCAGCTATCATCGAGCGATGCAGGACGCTCGAATAAAAAGTAATTGAAGGGAAAATTCAGGGCGAAGGAGGCAGGCGGCCCGACCCTCGGCCACGGCGCCGCACCGCGGCCTGAGTGCGGTGTGTCGAGGTATGCTCACCGCGCCGCCGGTCACATTCGAGATCTCGCCCCGCCGTCGTGCAGACTTTTCCAGTGGCGGTGCCCTGTGCACTAATAGTCACTCCGATGCATCCCAGGTTGTAATGCCCCTGTGGCTAGACAGGAAATAAGGGAGGGAGGGGAACCATGGCCACTTTTTTTTGGTGCCTCCCTCTACTCCACCGTGTGGTTCGAAAAGTTAAGTTTCCAGCATGAAGGGATTCTTTGGACCTCCAAGGACCTCTTTCACCCATTGGAACTTGTCTGCAATGCACGGCAGGCTCACAGAACACTTTGGAAAATAAAACGCAAAGTGGTCATGGCGCCCCACCTATGGAGCACCATGACCACCCCGTGGGGCACCATGACCATAGTAATTTTTTGGCCCAAAAAAGTGTACTTTCTACCAGTATTCTCATTGAAATTGTTTATATCGCTGTCCTTACCATCAGGCCAGTCAACTTAACTAAAAAACCACTGTAAAAACCTTCGAAGTGTCAAACGTTCTATGATGCCTTAAAATGGACGGTTTAAAACAGTTAACGCTCTAAGGCTTTCAAATTTCACATCCAAAGCTATGACATGTGTTAACATTTTATGTTTGTCTTGCTAAGACG